ACAACAAAAGTTCCTATCGATTGGTCATACCACAAGTTTAAAACAAATGAAAAATGGCTTTGAAATATCGTTTTCAAAAATCTCCACCAAAAGGTAAAAACCACAGATCACTATCTGTTGCCGTTGTCGAGTTATTGAGTTTACACCAAACCACATTTAATTCTGTCACCGACAATAGTTTTAGACCATACTATGATAAAAATATGAAGACCACAATGTTTAGTAAAATTTGAGTTTTTCGGCATCTCCAGCTAAATTTATACATTGTATGTCTTCATAACACAACGATGTTGGGGGCTATTTTTTTTACTCTATACATAGCGTGTCACATTCTATAAGAAAAAGTACCATTCCATCGATTTGAAGAATTGATGTGTTTACGTAGGGGAAATCTCATCGAATAGGTCATTATTGAATAATAAATATAGGATTTTTCAAATAAATCCCTTACATTTTATACAATATGTTTGTGAAAACAATGAAAATAAAATGTTAAATAAAAATGATTTGAATAAAATATTATTTAGATAGCATGGCTGAGTATAATTGATTTGATTGGTCTTACTTTTGCAATTTTGATTCTTGCTATACTTCGATTGATAAATTCATATATGGAAAGTTCGATCGACACCCCATTAATTGATTATACAGGCAACACAGGTGCTAGAAAAACCAAGCAAATCAATCTTTTGGTTTGTACTGTTGTCTATATTTTGAGTTTGATTTTTACGGTAATCATCTTCTTTTTTTTTGTTAATTTATAGAAGAATTTCTTTCTTAATTTGAATAGGTTATCTTCGTCAAATACGCTTTCAAACTAGCTAAACTTATTTCTGCAAAAAAAACTCAAGCTAATCAACAAATAGAACGTGTCGTTTATTCAATTATATAATTAGATTGACTTTGTTTGTATTTTTCTATAGCAACTTGATCACTAACAAACTTTCTTTATTACATAGACATTGATAAAAAAAATAATTCTTCAACCAGTTACTTTTTCTTTATTAATTGTTTAATTCAATAATTATTTATTCAACTAAATGAATTTCGATGAAGATTCTTAGTTTTTGTTTCCATTCGATTAATAAAATAAATAGTGTCAAAAGTCTTTGGGAAAAAAGTTCAAATGAATCATTTAAATTTTGTACTCATTTTTCAACTAATTATTCCTAAGTCGAGCACCATTGGTTCTACATGGGCATGTACTAATCATTTACGGCGACATATGATAACCGTTTATGGGAACTGTTCACTGTCGTAGGAAACAAGAATTTCCGATGCATTACGATCGTCGTAAACGTTCGCCGTGGGTAGTTGTGTGTGTCGGTGAGTGTGTAGGTGTGAGTGGAGATGTGAGTTTGGCTGTAGGGGTGTTAGTGTATATGTGGGTCTATGGTTTACTTTTTTTGGAAACTGAGCCTCCCCCCCCCCCCCCCCCACACACCCCTACTCCTCTTTTTGATATTCAACCAGCCCAATCGAACCAAACTCTAGCCCCTCCGGATCGTCTTTCACCTAGCGACGTGTATAG